TATATATATATATATATATATATATAGTTTCTTGATCGTCTTTACCTTTATGAATTAGTTATAACGTCATCTTTAGGAAGTATACATGTATTTTATTGTTTTTCTTTACTTGCATCACATCATATTACATGATTCATTAATCATTTGCATGAAATTATTCAATTAAAACTTATTTTTAATGATGGCAATTATCTAATGATGATGCCAAGAAGAGATGCGAAATTTAAACTAACTAATAAAGTAATAGTCCATCTAAATCCTAACTTCCCACATAAGATTTTAAGAAATAAACTTAAGAAAATAAGGGCCATATAAAGTGATGACAAATGTTTATATGTTATAGATTCAATGTATCTAATTTTACTTAATGTGATAAACTGGCCATCACCTTTCGGCTATTTCTCATAACCTGTCCTGAAGCTACCCGCGCCACCACCTGTCGGCTATGTCTCATAACCTGTCCTGAAGCTACCCACGCCACCACCTTTCGGCTTCTCCGTCTAACACAAACATCTTCAACAATGCTCTTCTTTCATCCGGACAAGCCATGCTATCTAGTATCTTTTCTATCCTCATTAGCCAGTTCTTTACTTCAATCTGATCTTCAGTTCCTTTGGACAGAGGTGGACGCAAATTTTGAAATATCTTCAAGTACTTATCTACAATGATAATATCATTTCCAATAGACTGCAATTTGGACTTCTGAATCAACTGAGTCATCGCCACCATCATTTGGGTGAGGACATTCGTGTTCATTAATAGCATGTTGTACTTCTTCGTCTTTTATTAGGATTTCTTCTTCTATAATTTCGGGTGTATCATTATGTCTGAGTGTATAATAATTATTACTTTAGGTTAAATTTATATTTTATAATTATTAAAATTTTCTTATAATTATCCTATTGACTTTTTCAATGGACAATAATTTTCTTATAACCTCTCTGATACCACTTTTGTTACGACCCGACCCGAGACTTTTAATTTAACAGATGAAGGTGCCACTACAAATTAAATTAAAGGACTAAATTTTAAATAACTTCGTTACTAGTTGTCTCCATTGTCTATAAATATTTTCTCGCCTATCACTTATCTTTTAATAATTTATTTGAACCTAAAAAGTTGGTTAAAACAATAGTGAGCTAAACAAAACTAGTGAATACTCGTACTTCTAAACTATAACAATACAAGAAAAAAAATAATACGAATGCAATTAAGCTTCTTTATAAATCAATATAAACCTTTGACATCTATTCAAAGGGTCTATATTAATATCATATCAATATCATTTAATATCTATACGACCATCACAAGAGACACCGTCTAAAAATTGTACATCTTAAGGTACTTCAATATCAATATCCTTTTTCATTTACTTGCACACATACATTGGTGTTCACTCACTAGTATCATCAATGGATTTTTCATCATAATCAAACACGTGTATGCAAACATACTATAATTGATTTCGTTTACATTCTAAATATCATCTAATATCTTTCTTTTATACATACACATACATGTGTATTACATAAATATAACTATGCAAATCATTCACATTCATTTCTAGATGATCAAATCTAATGACATTCTAATACGAGTGATTTATAAGGAAAACAATATTATTAACATAAAAGTACTCACCTTGATGATACTTAATTCGATAAGATTTTTCCCTCACGACAATTCATCTAAAATGGAAACCTAACACGATATAAAATTTAATTATTTATTATTTTAAGTAAACTACTAATTTATTATTATTATTTAAGTATTAAAATTTCATTATTTCATTATGCTTATTTTTTTTACTCAAATAATATATATTATATTACTCCTATTAATAATAATAATAATATTATTATTATATTACCTAAATAAAAAACTACCCTTATCTTTTCCAAAGACTCGACTCGACCTAGGCTCCTGCACACTCTATCCTTTCCCTTTCTTCTTCTTCGGCTCGATCACATAGGATCGTACGTTGTCTCTTCTTTAACTTCTTCGATCAAGTCACGATATCGATCATCATCCCTCCACTGCTCTACCCTGACGTCGATACTTCTTCAGACCTTTTCATCGTTGACTAGGGCTTCTCTCACATTGTTCTCCTCTCCTTCGCTTGTTGGTCGGCTCCCAGGTAAGTTGGTCTTCCTCTGCATCCCTCACATCCCTTTTATAGGCCGAAGTAACCTTCGGTTTCCCCGATTTCTCGCCTCATCTTTCCCTTTATCGACTCTTCGTTCCCTCTTCCTCTCTTGGGCTTCTAACTGTTTGTTTCCTCTTTTTTTTTCGGTTCACTTGACTCCTCGCTTCCTATCTCCTTTGGCTTTCTGTTTCTTCTCCTAAGAGCGTTACACTTTTCTTGACCGCACTTAATTCCTAGAATAAGTACTTGCATTTCCCTACGTAGGTACTCCAGTCCCCTGATTTTAATAAAACTTCTTCAGACTAATGTGCAATTTCCCTGAACGGTACATAGTTTTTTGGATAGGTACTTGATATTCCTCACATGGACATTTTAAAAATTACCCTCACACCCATTTTATACCTTCTCAAATAGAACCGACGGTGTCGAAGATGAAGAAATGACTGGATCAGTGATCAATGACGAAACAAAATGAAAAAACAAATGTTTTTGTTTTCTACTTTTTTGTACAATATAAAATAATATGGATATATAATACACCACACAAGTGATAAAATGGAAAAAGGAAGAATCGAGCATGGTTTGGGCTTGGGTAGGTGCAATCAATCCAGGTTGTCAAGTGGAGGAGGTTCATGTAAGTATTTTGGGTTAGTTTTCAACAAGAGAGGGGAAGAGCAGAGCTTCTTGGCATTTGAGGGAAGAAAGTTTTCGGGCTAGGGCAAAACGTCATAGTCACGTGCACAAGCAAAGTAGGGCTCATGATTTAGGCTTCGGGATAAGGGCAAAGTGGCAGCATTAAATGGAATGGTGCCTGGTTGTGTATAATTTGAACAGAGAGTACAAACAGCTTCGTTCCAGTGCAAGGAGGCAAAAGGCTTCGACTGGAGTGTGCGACATAATAGGTGAAGGATTTTAGCCTGGGCTTTGTGCTGCAGGTTAGGTTAGAGGGGACTTAATCACGCGTGAGGAGGGGCAGGGAGTGCAGCTCAGTTGCAAGACGGGCTCGCGTTGGAGCAGACAGGCAACTCTTTCGTGCGGAATTACAAGGGAGTTGCGACTGTCGTGCAAGAGGTAAAGCAGAATGCGAGTTTTTAAGGTCTCTGTATGCCACAATTCTTTTGCTATCTTCACTGTATCTGAAGAGACGAGAGCGATAGGAAGGCTTGGGTGCAAAATCAGACAAGAACGAAGAGATCGTAGCCCATATGTTCCCCCAGTGACTTTTTATCATGACACGAAACATTTTATTAGTTAAGACTAATTTAAATGTCTGCAAACATTCACCCTAGATCTATAAGGGTCTTTTGGATGACACAATTCATGATTGTTGACAAAAATCTTTCAGTTAAGTTGGGTCGACTATTTCCTCTGACTATAGATCATGGACTACAATAGCCCAGGATGATAGAATCATGTGAACTTGGTCGGGTTTTACATCATTTTCTCCACCATCTATTTTATGCTCCATGACACGTACAAAAAGTCTCACATCGGCTAGGTGTAGGGCCGAAGAGCAGTATTTAAGTCCTGGGCCGCCCACCTCTCTTAAGAGCTATTTTGGGAGGTGACAAGTGATATCAGAGCAGATTGCTGTCTGCTAGGTGTGTGGACTCTCCATGGTCCAGTGATACTCTCGGAGGAGCCGATCCTTGACGAGGGCGTCACGTGATTGGGTTGAGGAGAATGTCACGTATAAAAAGTCTCACATCTGCTAGGTGTAGAGCAGAAGAGTAGTATTTAAGTCTTGGGCTTCCCACCTCTCTTAAGAGCTCTTTTGGGAGGTAAGGTGATAAATTTTACAACTTAAAATCATATGTATGTTGCTACTATATGTTGAATATTCAATGTTTAATGATTAGTTTTAATCAAAAGTGTTCTCTTGATAATGGGAGAGGTAATTAACTATCTCTATGAGAAATCTCGAACCCCATATCAAAGTCTTCACAAATACGGGCAGGGTAGTGTCTTATCTACAATCTAACATGCCTTCTAAAAATTTGACCCTCAAAACTCTCTCAATAATACACAACAACAACAAAAGAGTCTGGGGCAACAAAATTTTTGGAGCCCACAATAAATTCATAATATTCTTTAAGCTAATTTGATTTCTTCAATAAAACTTGGTGTCACCAAAGTACTTATAGGAGAGAGTTAAAAATTAAAATAGTAATAAAATTTGATTATGATCAAAACCACATCAATACTCCTCAAATCCTTTATGATAGAAATAAAATTGTTAAGGTGTGTTTTAGTAGACTTATGTTCTTGCATGCATAACAAATAGTCTCTATTTTTGATAAATTTTTTAGGCTTTTTGGCTATTTATAGAGATTCAACTTGAGCCACAATCACATCCACGATTGCTTTCTCTAATAGATTCATCTAGACCTTAAATGCCAAACATAACTAGATTAAAGAGAGAATTTTATCTTCTACTTTCTTTAGGCAAAAAAATTGTCGCACCAGCTAATTATATTATTTTCATGCCATGTTGGTTTTATATTCTGGAATTTACATTTCCCTGAGTAATATCTGATCTTCAAGATTTGAAGTTTCAGGTGGAAGGCATTCATTATAGTCTGACAGATTTAGAAACAAAATATGCCATGCTGTCTGTCAAGCACTTAAATTTGGAGAAGGAGAAAGAATTTTCAGTTACTCTAGTCACGGAGCTCAAAGAAGCTTTGGATATCAAAAATAAAGAACATGAGACTCTTGTTCAATCAAGCAAGATTTGTTTGCTTTCCCTTCAAAATCAGATCCACCTGCTGCAGGAGGTCGTACATCAAGAATTTTTGAGTTATATGATCGAGTTTCTCGTCTTGCAGAGATGTCTTTGCGACGTGAAAGATTCCTACAGAACTGAAAAGCTGAAACACGAATCCCTTATCAAGTCAAGTGAGATCCAACTGGCTGCTTTAGAAAGCCAAATAAATCTAATGCAAGAAAAAGAAAAGATTAGAGATAAGGAATTTGAGGAACACCAGTGGAATTACATGAATTCCAACCTTGAAATTTTCACCTTGCAGAGGTGCTTGTCTGAAGTGAAAGAGAACAATTTCGTTCTTTTGCATGAGTGTGAGAAGCGTAATGAGGCTTCTAAACTCCTCAAGGAAGAAAACAATCTGCTAGTGGATCAGAATGCAAGACTGATGGATGGGATTGATCTTATACTTGCATCACTTAATGTTAACCATAACTTAATGAATACAGATGCAAGTACAGATATTTTTCTGCATACCATTTTGATAGAGATTGGTAATCTGTTGGCTTGCATTTCAGATACTAATGATGAAAATCAACTTCTTTATACGGAATTAACAATTTACTCCACCTTTATAAAACAAAATGCGCTGGAAAAAGTTCTCATTGGCAAGGAACTTGGAAGAAAGGATGCTGAACTACTTGTTTTTCAGAGGGATCAAGATCAACTCTTTGAAAGATGTGAACAACTTGGGGAAGATGCGAAAGAAAAAGAATGTATGAGTTCGTTATTAAAGGCTGAGCTGGAGTCTCTTTGTAGACGATTGTCAGATTTGTCAAAGGATTTTTCTATGTTGAGGGATGAAAAGAGAGCTTTGGAAGAGGAAAACAATATGTTACTTCAGGAGGCTGTGGCATTGGAGCACCTCTACTTGTTCTTTAGGAGTTCAAATGCAGAAAATCTGCAGTCTTTAAAGGTACTTGATGATGTAATTGGTTCTCTTGGCATGGTTAAAAATGACCACGAGAAGCAGATACGAGAAAGCGAAGAGAAGATGAAAGTTGTGGAAAATGAAAACAAACGGCTTAAGGAGGATGAATTTGTCATGTTCGAAGAGTTAAGAAATCGGACAACAATGTTAGAATTTGATCTTTGCACAGCCAGACATTTCTGTGAAGAACTAATCCTTCGAGTTGAAATTGGGGAGAATCTGTTAAAGAAGAAAAGCATGGAGCTCTTGAAAGCATATCACAAGCTTCAGAGCACACAAGTAGAGCTTACTAAAATATGCACAAAACTCGATGCTGCAAATAATGAGGTGGATGAAGCCAAAATGATGAGATTGCAATTTGAGGAAGAAATTGCAGGTCTGTTGGATACTCATGCCTGTAAAGATGTGGAGATTATTACTACTCATGAAGAAAATAGAATGCTTAATGAGGAATTGAATAGATTGAAGGATAAATTTGAAGTGCTCGGGATGAGGGAACAATATCTTTCTACTGAACTGCAGAAGAAAATATATGAACTTGACATTTGTGAGGAAGAAGTTACAAATTTATTGACTAGTTGTGAGGAAGAATTTACAAATTTATTCACAAGTATGCAGGTTTCTGCAGTCAGTGGTGCAGTTCTTGAAGACCAGATGTTTGAGAAGGCCCTTGCATGTGAGGGACTTGAGATTTGTGCTTTGGTACAAAGAGAGATGCTCAGTGAGGGGATTACACTGAGGAATGTACATGCATTGAAGTTGCAGAAGAAGCTTGATGATCTTGAAAAAGAGAATAGCAAGCTTAAAGACATTTGGAATTCATGTTTACCTCTATTTATTTCTCTGGAGAATGGTATTGCTAATGTGGAGAATCAAGCACATCAATTAGCTAATCTTCATGATGACCAGGTAATATTTTTGAAATTATCGAGTCTGTTATTTTAAATTACTAGCATGTTTCATTATTTATATTTAATTTATATTTGGATAATTTGAATAGGATAATTATACAGAGCCATAACTAAAAACTACCAGCTGGTATAACACCACCTACAGAGCAGCCATCAAAACCACTTAAAACTATTGAGTAAAAGCCTATTAGCTCTACCTTATACACCTCTTTCTATTCTGTATTTCTATAATCTCTTGCTTTCTTTTTTATGTTATCCACGTATGCACGGATGCTAACTAATCAATTTCACTATCCATCATCTCTACCCCCTTCTACCCAACGTCCTCACCCTTGATTCTTAACATTGAAACCTTGAGAATTATTGAAAGAGGATTGCATTGTACAAATTTCTTGTATAGTTCAACTGAAAAATGAATTTTATCACATCTCCATGAAAGATCAAACCTCGACCTTATATATATTAGATATTAAAGCTGAAGTGGATTCAATCACTATATCTGGTTTTATCATCGACCTTGAAGACATCATACTCTACACTTTTAAAGGTATTCCCTTTCTTTCAAGAAAAAAAAAGTTATTCCCTTTACCTATCAAACATTCAAGATAGCCATCATACCAACCTTCAACCCCTCACCCTTGATTTATATATCCTAATCTACAATGAAGAAATAAATCTTGCCAATGAAACTTCTCATAAACTCCAACCACTTTAGATAATAGATCCTTTCACCATTCTAGCAACAACTAAGGGCAGAGAGCGTGCTCTCTTTCAATCCCATTCCAAGCAGAGGTGTCGCATGAGTTCCAACTCTTAACAAATATGTGGCAAACAGGTCAATAAAGTGTAATGATCATCCACTCATCTTAAATACAAATCACGGCCTCCTAACCTTATAACTCATAACCTCCCACTCCATTTACTTCAAGTTCCTAATCTCCTTATTACCTCCGATTTATTCATCTTATTAGCTCTTTGATGCCAATGGCTACAAATTAAAGACTTGAAAACTGACCCACGTGTTCTCAAAGAACCTTGTCAAAAGAGGCTCTATCCCGTCTTCAATCCACTACCGTACCTAAACCTTGCTTTACACTACTTTTGATTAATCAAGGACCTCTGTCATCGTTGACTTGATCATCCAAACTCTTCTATTCTATCAATCATAGATTGAAATAATTCAACAAAAGGTATTCTTTCTAATTTTCTATCTTGTACATCATGTCATCTAGCTAAATGTTATAGAATACCGTTTCTTGTATCTACCTTAGACAAATATAGTTCTTTGGAGCTTATCCACGCTAATGTCAATGCTTCCCATGGCTCCCCCTATTCTTACTAGATAAATTAGGTAACATCAACCCCAACTCAAATTCCAGCCTTGCTCATACTATGTCTTTTGCAAAGGGTTATCCAGGGTTTCACCTACCATTTTTTGTGCCTAGATTAAAACTTCAGCTATATTTTAATGGGATACCATTGCTTTCTTCAGGATGTTCATTTGACTGATCCTCAGGAGAAGAAGAACATTGAAACAAGGAAAGATGATCTTGCAGGAGCCTTAGAGCTGCAGAATTTAGTTTCTAAACTCAAAGAAATTGAGAAACTAATGCTACATACCAATAATCAACTAAAACAGGAAAGGCTTCTATTTTCTTCTAACATGGAGTCTGCAAGAAGAGAAATTGAAGAGTTGAAACTAGGGCTTTATGATAAACAGGTAAAGCAATCTGTCGGGAAGGATGGGCAGCTGATGAAAGATATCGAGCTTGATCGAGTTTCGCATTCCGTTGTTCGGAGTAGAATCCACAGCGCCGAATCCGAAGACCAGATGCTTAAATTATGGGAAACCGCTGAGAGAGGCTGCGCCAACTCAGTCTCTAATGGCCATGGCATAGAAAGAGCGCAGGAAGCCAAGAGCGAATCGCATTCACCCGAAATCGGTCCTGAGAAAGAGGTAGGTATTGACAAATTAGAGATATCTAAAGAGATGAAAGAGACCCAAGAAGATTGGAACAGAAGAATTATGGAAAGGCTTTCGACAAGTGCCGATAAACTCTCCCTTCTCAAAATAACTGCTCAGAAACTTAAGGCGACGGCGGATGGATCTGCTAAAGGAGAACGCCGGATTTGTTCCGAACATAATGCGATGCGGACTAGGCTGAAACAAGCCGAGGAAGTAATCTCATCGCTGGTTGATGCCGACGACAAACTGAGGAATAAGCTGAAGGAAGAGCACTCGAAACTGTCAAATGGTGAGCAGATGGAGTGGATGGACAGAAGGCAAATCTGGGAGCAGGTGCTGGTTGTTACGGATCAGACTGAGAAGTTAGAGCTGGAGCTACAGGAGATTCATTGTTTCTTCCTCAAGCTTGAGGAAGAGGGCGAGAGCAGGATGACCCATGAGGGAGATCGAACGCCGCAAGTACTGCTTAGGGATTATATCAAAGGATGGAGAGTCGGACAGGGAAGGAAGAGAGGACGCATTTGTGGATGTTTCAGGCCTAAGACTCAAGATTGAACCTTTATTGATCTTCTTCAACCTTTAATCAGGGAATAGTTGAAGCTCTGAAACCATGTAGAGGAATTCGAAAGGAATGATTTTGGAGTTTAATGGTGAATGAATAGCTACGGTCACTGAATAAGAAGAGAGAGAGAGAGAGAGCGAGGTGGG